TTTTTTTTATTCTGGTCAAATTTGTTAACTGAATACTGAATTATCTGCGGTTGCAATACACAGGCGTATTTGCTGTTGCAAGTATGATGACCGGAGCGTTGAGGCTGCGACTTATTCCAGACACTGTTCCAATGATCAGCAATGCTTCAGCATCTGTAAATAATGAAAGTGTAACTTCAACAGCGTTAGACCCAAGTATAACACCGATTATGTTGACCAGTACACTTGCTCTAACTGTAGGTCTTGTTCAGGTAGGCGTTTTGTTTGGAATTATTGATATTAAACACAGAAATTAGTCAGTAAGCTTCACTTAGTACGCTTCAAAATTTTAAACTTTGAGCTCACTTTGAAAAAAAAAAAACAAGTTGTTTTAATCAGTTGTAAAGTTCATTTAGTTCAATCATTGTATGCTATAAAAAACGTCACTGAAAGCACTAGCTTATCACTTTTTGTCTTATAGTTTCGCCTCAAAAATACGTTTTATTAACAAAAATTTACATTTTGTTGATCAGAGAAGTGACTTGGCTAAGTAAAAAAATTGACATAAAATTTGATTTTTTCGCTAAAAATCACTGAAAAAATATTATTTAAAAAATTTTTTTGCAGTTAATAATGGCAGTATTACATTTGGGTTTCATGACCACATATCTGTCTGATGCTTTAGTATCCGGCTTTACTACTGGTGCGGCATGTCATGTTTTTATGGCTCAGGTCAATAAGGTTCTTGGAGTCAAACTACCTCGTTATGAAGGTTTTGCAATGTTGTTTTATGTAAGTAAAAAGTTCTTAAAAAAGTTATCAAGAGATAGTTTGCAGAGAAAGGTTTTGAACGTTACCTGACACTTTTTTCTGACACATTGGTTATAAAAAGATACCTGCAAGGTTTTATTTTAAAACTATACGCTAAATATATTTGGAAGTTCTTTCATTATACTCTACATTATCCATGCGCCAAAACGCAGTTTTGAACTAACAGCGACAGAAAAGATTTGAGAATTTGAAAAAGACTTAAACTTATGATGTAACTGAAAATATTATTTGCAAACAAAATTTTTTGAAAAAAGTCGTTAGACACGGCAATGATCAGGCCAAACAGATACTTTGACAAGGCGCAAGTGGTTCGGTTTAAATCAAAATGTCAAGAAACTGTTGGAACTCTGTTATGCTGAAAATTTTAGGTTTAATTAAACTTTTGGTTTGCATATAGTAATATTTTTTAGATGCTTCGAGATATGATCTTAGCAGTTCCACATGCTAATTTATATGCAGTAGCTTTATCAATTTTTGGACTTATATTCTTAAAAATCGGGAAAGATTTTGTGAATCCTATAGTTAAACGGCACAGTCCAGTTCCCGTACCATTTGAATTGTTATTAGTAAGTATTACTTTACTAACTGCACTTATAACACGATCGTCTTGACCACAGTGATATCAACTGCAAAATTTAGTTCATTTCTTAGTTATCTTACGCACGCTTTCCTGCCACCAATTACAGATCACTCTTCTTTTAACAAATACTATGTAACTTAATAAATCATATTCAAAAAAAAAAAATCAGAACAAATAAAAAATCACATTTAAACAAAATCAAATAAATGATAAACTGCAACAAAGTTTGAAAACTTTATTTTAGACTTTAACAGTTATTTTTAGGTTGTTCTTTCCACAATATTTTCGTCTGTTATCGGTTTAAAAAACAATTATGGCGTTGATATTGTCAACTACGTTCCGCAAGGGTTTGTCTCAATTCACCTTAAAAATCGTAGTCGTTAACTAATCAAATTAACCAAATCAAAGTTTATCGTAACTTTAGTGTACCAAAACCATCAATTCCACCACTCCAGTTGATCCCACTGGTTATTAGTGATGCTATTGGAATTGCCGTCGTTTGCTACATGTTTGTCATTTCAATGGCCAAATTGTTTGCAAAAAAGCGAAAATATAAGATTGACCCCGACCAGGTTTACTTTCTTACCTTTATCTTTGTATACGTTTCAAAAACTATATTTAATTCGACTTCCAAACTTTCCTCTAACAACTATTTTTTGAAACAATTTTTTCATAATATATTTTATTTCATAAAATTTTTAGTAACAGATATACGGCTAATTGTAATTTTACTTCAGGAACTGTACGCAGTTGCGTTTATGTCACTGTTTTCAGCAGCATTTCCTGTGTATCCAGCTGGGGCATCACTTTCGCGAAGTTCAGTTTGTGAACAGTCTGGTGCAAAAACACAAGTACCTTTTGTCCAGTAGCATAATTTAGATTAACTAGTTAAGATTCAAGTGGAAAAGTCCTATAGCTTGAAGTCGAAGAACAATCAAACTGATACTACTTCTATTTTTTCTTTTGCTAATTAACCACTTTTTAATTTTATATTTCAAAAACAAAAAAAAAAAAGAGAAGAAGTCAGCTTTATGATTTGAACTATCTTTTTTTTTACAGGTTAACAACTTATAATTTCAGTTTTATACACTATTTTCCAGTTCATTGCTTCTGCTGGTAATTCTTTGGATCGGCCCATTACTGGAACCATTACCAATGGTAGATTTAGACGATACTTTATTTGCCAAAAGAACTAACTAAAAATAATTTTGAAAAAACAGCCAAAAAAAGTTTACCTTTATGACGGTTGAACTATTCAAAATGCTTACACAGTGATTTTCTTCAGTGTGTTCTTGCCTGTATTGTGATAATCAGCCTAGAAAGTTTATTTCTACAAGTGAAGGATGTCAGACGTTTATGGGAAGTTTCAAAATTCGATTGCGTAAGTATTTGCGAAATTATTAGTTATATGTAAGCTATTTTTTTTAACACTGCTCCTTATTAATACTAGGAAAATTAAGAAAAAAGTCAGACTGTATGACGATTAAACCAATCAGAATGTTTCAGAATTCGATTGCTTGAGTGCTTGCAAAAAAGTTATATCTTTTACAGTAGAAGAAGGGAAAGAAATAAATTATAGATGGAATAAAAACTGAAAAACATTTAGGCGGTTTGGTTAGTTAGCTGTATTGCAACAGTGACAAATTCTGTTATGACCGGTCTTATAGTAGCCGTACTGTTCAATGGCTTCTCACTGATACTTCGGGAGCAATGGTATGACCTCATTTTTTTTTTCCAAAACATTTGTAATTTAAAAGAGATGCTAATAAACTAATTTTTTGTTGATTACATCAAAGTCGGAATAAGTCTCTTGTTTGGTATTATAACAACAGTTTAGGCCTAAATTACACTACCTTGGAGCTTTTCCACTAAAAGGTGTATACAAGCCAGAAACCTATTATAAGTCTATACCAGCCGTTGGTGAAAACGTCAGACTGTTGAGGTTTGAAGCACCTCTGCATTTTGCAAATGTCGTGCTGTTTAGAGAAAAATTTGACAATTTGATGTCGTTATCTGAAAATAAGCAAGAAAACTTATCTGAAAATAAGCAAGAAAACACTAAGGTATGTCGGATAACAAAATCTTCACTTTT